CGACAAAAGATAATATAGTAACTAGACTATCACAGATTTAGACCTAATACGAGACAATATTTGTCGACAAAGGATAATATTTAGACTCGACAATACGAGACAATATTTGTCGACAAAGTAATATAGTAACTAGACTATCACAGATTTAGACCTAATACGAGACAATATTTGTCGACAAAGGATAATACATATAGTAACTAGACTATCACAGATTTAAACCTAATACGAGACAATATTTGTCGACAAAGGATAATATAGTAACTAGACTATCACAGATTTAGACCTAATACGAGACAGTATTTGTCGACAAAGGATAATATAGTAACTAGACTATCACAGATTTAAACCTAATACGAGACAATATTTGTCGACAAAGGATAATATAGTAACTTGACTATCACAGATTTAGACCTAATACGAGACAATATTTGTCGACAAAGGATAATATAGTAACTAGACTATCACAGATTTAGACCTAATACGAGACAATATTTGTCGACAAAGGATAATACATTGTATAGTAACTTGACTATCACAGATTTAGACCTAATACGAGACAATATTTGTCGACAAAGGATAATATAGTAACTAGACTATCACAGATTTAGACCTAATACGAGACAATATTTGTCGACAAAGGATAATATAGTAACTAGGCTATCACAGATTTAGACCTAATACGAGACAATATTTGTCGACAAAGGATAATATAGTAACTAGACTATCACAGATTTAGACCTAATACGAGACAATATTTGCCGACAAAGGATAATTTAGTAACTAGACTATCACAGATTTAGACCTAATACGAGACAATATTTGTCGACAAAGGATAATATAGTAACTTGACTATCACAGATTTAGACCTAATACGAGACAATATTTGTCGACAAAGGATAATATAGTAACTTGACTATCACAGATTTAGACCTAATACGAGACAATATTTGTCGACAAAGGATAATACATCGTATAGTAACTTGACTATCACAGATTTAGACCTAATACGAGACAATATTTGTCGACAAAGGATTATATAGTAACTAGACTATCACAGATTTAGACCTAATACGAGACAATATTTGCCGACAAAGGGTAATATAGTAACTAGGCTATCACAGATTTAGACCTAATACGAGACAATATTTGCCGACAAAGGATAATATAGTAACTAGACTATCACAGATTTAGACCTTATACGAGCATGTACCACAACAAGATATTCCTGTTAATTATTTTTATAATTATTATTATTGGATATTTATATAGCGCACATATCCACGCACTAGTGCATGCTCAAGGCGCTGGTATTTTCCCTCGATCATTGGATTTCAATCTCAACGGCACATCGTATTATCAATCTCAGCTCCCTGGGGAGTATACAACTCTTGCTGCCACAAGGCGCACCGAGTTATGGCGGCTTTCCCATCCTAACGAGGTACCCATTCACAGCTGGGTGGACTGGGACACATAGTCACAGTACTTTGTCCAAGTTTACTGCACGTTGCTGTACCCGCAACTAGCTTGGTGTTTGCACGTATTCATGTGGCCACCATTTGGTAAAATACCAACGGATTCGTGGGTTATTTTAAGTGCACAGGGTTGTGTACTGTACACTAGGGGTTGTGACAACACTGATAAAGTCTGCACACAGTTGACTCCAAGGCTTTTACACCCGGTCACAGGTGGGCTCGATCCCGGCACCTCAGGCCCGCCGGATCACTAGCCTGGCGCCTTAGCCAGCTCGCCCACCCACGCCTTTACTGTCAACAAAAATACAATATAGAAATGGCTATCGATCGCCAACAATTAAAGGTTGCCTTGAATTAAAAGAGCACATATTCTACGAGTGAAAACGTGTGGTGCCTCAACATACATTGAAAGATGTCTTACATACAGTTTCAGGGTGACAATACTTTCACAATAATGTAACCTAGGTCCACAGGCAACTTCGCCGCCATGCTTGAATCCATCTGTAAATCGCTAGGGTTGTCAGCTGACAGTAAAGAACCCATAATCCTTGCAGGAATAACAAATTTCCGATCTAACCATCCCCAAACTAGCCAACTGTTACGACTGTCAACAGATGTGACAGCCAACCATGGTTGTACACTTGGTCCGGTCTGGTAAAGTCATATTTAGCTTTGGCGCAATTTGGAACCAGAACTAGGGCCTTGAATATACCCTTGTCACCGGAAATCTGGAACTGGAAGTAAACCGGGCCCCGTCTCGCATATCGCAAGTTGGCGCGCGCAAAGGGAGCCAGGAACCAGATTAGTACCGGAAGTAGCGCCTCGCGAGACTTACAGGTCCTATAGAGATGTGTACGTATTATATTTACGTCTTAACTGATTAAATTGCTGTTTAAACTGTAACTGATTTGTTTCTTATTGCTTAAAAATGGTCAGAGTTAAACCTACTTTTATTTTAACAACTGCCAAGGCGGAAATGAGCCGACCAAAAGGTGATATTATTTCGTGTTCGATATTAGCAAAAGAAATGAAAGTTTTAATTCGTATTCCAAGAGGTGGAATAAGAGAAACATTTTCCCCAAGTAGTTCTTCTTAAAGGAGATTAAATACAATATTTGTGTGGACTGGATTTTTTAGAATTTAGTTCTGAAAGTTTTGTAATATATTGCAAAAAGAGTTGAAGGTGGCACTGTTTAATGGAAGGCTCATATGCCTCAACTATAACAGTTGAGAGATCCAAGACAAAGTTTCACACCTTGGTAGTAGACAGAATCAAGTGGTTTAAAGCTGCTCTTACAGGTTCAACCATATACGAAGGAGCCGTAACCACGTTTTAGGCGGACCAGTGATCTATATTAGTGTAGGATAGTTGGAACCCCTTACCACCCAGAATTAGAAACGACTTTCAACAAATCGAGTGAATTCAGGCATTTAGCTTTCACATGTTTAATGTGTGGTAAGAAAGGCAAACGAAAGTCAAATATAAGTTCTAAAAACTTGGCCTCCGTCACAACCTTGATGGGTGATTGAGAGATTTCGGGGGTTTTATGTGGTTTATATTTTCGGTAGAAACGTATTCAATTTGGTTTTGATTTAGAAAATTGAAACCCATTTTCAAGTGACCATTTGCAAATTATATTGAGACAAATTTGTAACTGACTGTCTCATGTATGCATATTTTTCCACAAGAAAGATTAAATCATCCACGAAAAGTGATCCATCTACTGAAGCAGTTAAACCCTTTAAAGTCTATCTCTTTGAATATGACATAATGTGACAGACAAAATACTGCCTCGTGCAACACCTTAATCCTGATCATAATGATCAGGCAGGGTTGATCCCACACGGGTATGAAATTCTATATCCGCATGTCTGTGATATTAACTGAGATAAACCACCTCTCAAACCTAACCATGTACATCTTTTTAAACGTTATGCTTTCGAGTAGCATCGTATGCGTTCTCAAGATAACACAAATTGATACTAGACGTGTTTAATTACAATATCATTTTTATCAATGATTCCAATCGTAATTCGATTTTTCCAGAAATCACATTGACTATTTGTTATAAGGTTATTGGTTTCCAGATCCCAAGTTAATAAATTGTGTCATTCGTTGCATGGTTTTACAGACACAACAAGTTAAAGATATGGGTCTCTAATTTGATGAATCTGTGTGATCAGGCTTTGGTATAGGGACCACAGTGGCTTTATGCCACGAAGATGGAAAAGTCCCTGAAGCCCATATCTGATGTATCCGCCAAGATCCGGGTTACAAGTGGTCTTCAGTAACCCATGCTTGTAAGAGGCGAATAACGGGATCGGGTGGTCAGGCTCGCTGACTTGGTTGACACATGTCATCGTATCCCAGTTGCGTAGATCGATGCTCATGATGTTGATTACTAGATTGCCTGGTCCAGACTCGATTATTTACAGACCGCCGTCGTAAAGATGTAATACTGTTGATTGAGGCGTAAAAAACAACAAACCAAACAAACCCAGCATTGTGTGCTTGTCGATCGCCGCATACAGTAGTATTCCAGCTGTTTGACAGTATCCAGAACACAGTCTGCACCATAGAAACTCTTGACTGATAATAGATGTGTTGGTACATGTGAGTATCATACAAAGACACGCTTTCGTCGTCTGTTCTTTAAAACAGTTGAATGCGTTGACGGTATTGTTAATCAAATGAAATATAAGCACATATTTCTGCGCTGATTCACACTACAGAATACAAGCACACTTAAGGTTCGTCTTTCTCTGTATTCTATCAAACGACGACCTGACGCAGTACAAATACAAAGTCTCTGTCTTAAGGCTTATCAGATCTGAATACACGTTAAAAGCAATCAATTATTTTCAAGAGTTTTAGTACACGTTCAGTATGTACATGATTGTATTATGTTGTTTATGAAAGTGTAGAGTTCACGAAGACCGAGATCAAACATGCGATTCATCTATTGTTGGTCAGTTCACCGATGTCGTCAGTACGACTTTGTTGCCATAATAGACATTTTCAGCATGTTCATTATTTTGTGGTGTTGTTTGTAAAGGTTTTGAGGTACTTGTTTTGTACCAAGTGCACACAATATGGGCATTCTTCCATGCTAAAGTATCATCTTATAATAAAGTACACGAGAAGTATGAAGACGCCATAACTACTGGGTCGATTGCTATAATCAAATAATTGTGTAGTGCCATTTACACTAATGATACAGAAGCAGACAGACAACTGGAGTCCATTTGTGTATCTACTTAATCTATGAGGTCCTTTGACTGGTTATTTGCTTAAGGGTGTTCAAATACGGTCGTGGGAACAGAAACCTCAACCCATTTCTCAAAAAGCCTGACTATAGTCCCAGTGGGGATCTACACCAATCTTCCCCATACACCTTCTTTCGTGAAACAGAAGAACGGAACTGGATTGCACCAATACATCGATTCCGTGATCTTTACTGTTTGCGTCGATGCGTGTATAGTATGAAACGGTATCCTTGCGAAACTGGGGGACTGCTAACCTGCACGATGTACAGAAGAGTATATGTGCTGCTGCTCTCTGCTTCTGCTGGAGCCGTGGTGACGACCTGTTCCCCAAAGGAGAGTCTTCCTGTTTCAGTGGGGTACAGACTTATTGGTGCTGTATTTGACACACTCCTCACACCGGGTATAGTGACGTGTGCTAGAGAATGCCTTGGGAGAACAGCATGTCAAGGCTTCAACTTCAATCTTGACCACGGCATCTGTGAGCTCAGTAGTGCTAATGATGGATCTACTGGAGTATCAATGATGGCGGAAACAAGCTTTGTTTTATCTAAAGCTGAAGACTGGCCTTCTGTGAGTAAACATTGTTTTTGAATTTGTGAAAGTGTTGTAGAAAGGAACGTTGAGAAGATTTTCATCAAACAGAGTATTACTAAAGTAATGGTTTATGCTTTACATTTTAGAAATCGGATTTTTGATAAGTATCTAAAAACGCATTTCCTCCTGGGAAATATCGTGTTACGGATACATCTATTTAGGTAAGAAATCTACCATTTAACACTAGAATCTTTCGGGAAATGAATCCTCAAATTCCAAATTTAAATGTCTTTTCTAAATTTGACCTCATACCAGTAATACGACCAACAAGGGACTCTCAAGACTAACATTTACCTTTGAAAATAAACCGAGCGTATTCCAACAAATCAACGACTAAGAGTCAACTCGTTATAGACAGAGGTGTAGTGATACTTCAAACCAATGAAGGAGGGCCATGCATCACATAAACTAATATTTAGTCTATCTATTGGGATACATGTTATGTTGAAAAGGGGTTGAAACAAACCAGCATTTATATTAATTTGAAAATGTTCCTCGGTGTGCTGGGTGTTACGACTTACGATTTTCGTATTTACAGTTCTGACGTGTCATATGTGCACTTCAGTTTAATGATTTGAATTTGCTGCAGCGAATACTGGGAACATGTGAACACCACAGCTGCCCCGTCACCACTCGGTGTGTAGAAGAAACTGACGGACCGGAATGTGTTATATCTTGTACGTATGCACTAGTTTTACTTGATGAACAAGTGTCCGTTCAAACTGTTTTAAACCTGTTTTGAATTACATCAAGTTTTACTGGGGAAGGATATTGATCGTAAAGCATGGTCACAAGTGCCACGTAAAGCAGATCGATCGAAGAGGCATATGCCCCTAGCTTGTACTGTCGCTGACTGCAACATTAAACTAACCTTTCAAAGTGGTATTTGTTATCAAGATGAAGTCTCACGTTTTTTTCTGATATGGTATAAATGAGGATGTTATCAGATGATTAGTGAGTGAGTTTAGTTCTACTCCACGTTTAGCAATAATCCAGCAATATCAAAGCGGGGGACACCAAAAATGGGCTTCACACATTGTATCCATATGGGGACTCGAACGAGCGAAGTTTAACGCTATAATCACTAGGCTAAACCCATACTCCCCAACCCGAAAAGCCGATGCCTCTGCAAGGGCGTCACGCTGAAGACTCGTGTTCGGTTCCCCACCTGGGTACAATGTGAGAAGCTCATTTTGGGTGTTCCCCAGCCGTGATATTGTTGAAATATAGCTAAAAGCGGCGTAATACCATACTCGCTCACTCAAACTGCAAGAGATGCTCTAAATCAGGCCACTTAATGTAATATGTTAGAAATCACGTGAATGACCTGGATGGCAACATGCTGGAATACAGAGGTTTCAGTTTATCTCATTTGAGTGGACGTCACTCCTATTCTCGTCTTCCTTGCCATGATGAAGATGATCATACCTTTTCTGAACAGCATATGACCACTTAAGCACAATTGAAAGAAATCTAAATGTGTGACAAAATGAAAAATGGTAAAAATATAGCCTTTTATCTCAGCAGTCTGTTTTTACTTTTGAATGTAGACCCGTGAAGGTCCGGGTTAGAATGAATCTTCAGTAACCCATTCTTGTCGTAAAGGGCGACTAACGGGATCGGGTGGTCAGGCAAGCTGGCCTGGTTGACACATGTCATCGGTTCCCAATTGCTTAGATCGATGCTCATGCTGTTGATCACTGGATTGTCTGGTCCAGACTCGATGATTTAAGACCGCAACCATATAGCTGGAATATTGCTGAGTGCGGCGTAAAACTAAACTCACTCACTCACTTTTGATTGTAATATTTGACTAATCTTGAACCTCCCTGATTGTCTATGTAAATACTCTACTGCAGACTGCCAAGACCCACCGACGGTAGAATTTGCTACTCTGACATCAGTAGGGCCTCTGACCCCTGTGGCAGAGTCCCTACCTTACGAGTGCACTGTGGGATATGTGCCCTGTGGTATCATCACCTGCAACACCGACGGAACGTGGTCACCCATGACCTGCATGCGTAAGTCACCTTATATGTTACCCGTGAAAATCCGGGTTAGAATTGGTCTTCAGTAACCCATGCTTGTCGTAAGAGGCGACTAACGGGATCGGGTGGTCAGGCTCGCTGACTTGGTTGACACATGTCATCGTATACCAATTGCGTAGATCGATGCTCATGATGTTTATCACTGGACTGTCTAGTCCAAACTCGATTATTTACAGACTCCGCCATATAGCTGGAATATTGCTGAGTGCGGCGTTAAACAACAACCAACCATCTTATATGTAGGAAAACAACAGGAAGCGAGTGAATGTTATTTCACAGACAATCTAGGAATCAACCGTATTCCAATAACAGTTGAGAAGTCCTAAAATAATCGAGATCGCGAGAAGATTATCATTGACCGATCTTCTATACTCTTAAAAAAGTAGGGGAACTTTTACTTTTAATTTCCGATTGAACAAATTTGGAGATATATCAATGTTGAATGTTTTGAGAGTGTATCACCACTTGCACTTCCTTATGACCATAGTTGTTTGTACAGTACTCGCTCTTGAAAGATGATTGGTGTATGACGTGAAATTTGCATGTGTACGATTTTCTTTTTCAAACAAAAAACGAGAGAGAGAGAGAGAGAGAGAGAGAGAGAGAGAGAGAGAGAGAGAGAGAGAGAGAGAGAGAGAGAGAGAGAGAGAGAGAGACGCACGCACGCACGCACACAAACAAACATAACAAAAACAAACACGCACACACAAACACGCACACGCAAACACATACACACACACACAAACGCACGCGCACACGCACAGACGCAGACGGTTTACACATTCAACGATATAGTTTATACCTCGCTTGCCGTTCCAGCTGTGTCCAACTGTACAGATGTACTACAACTTCGTTCCACGTACACTGACGGAGAGTACTGGCTGTATCCACTAAAGCTTAATGGCGCACGAGTTAGGGTGTATTGCCATGCAATGGACAGTACACCTTCCGAGTACATCTCTTTGAAAACACCATACTTCATGAATGCTCCACTGATGCAAAATCCGGATTGTACCGGGGAGTCACCAAAGACACACAATCTGCTTGGGTATCACGAATATACAAAATTCGGCCTGGACATCACAGTAAGTTAACATCTAATAATGGGGCGGTGAGATAGCCTTCGGAGAGCGTTCGGTCGTCACGCCGAAAATCCGGGTTCGAGTCCCCGCATGGGTACAATGTGTGAAGCCCATTTCTGGTGTCCCCCGCCCTGCTAAAAGCGGCGTAGAACTAAACTCACTCACTAATCATCTGATAACATCCTCATTTATACCATATCAGAAAAAACGTGAGACTTCATCTTGATAAAAAATAACATTTTGAAAGGTTAGTTTAATGGTGTAGTCAGCGACAATACAAGCTAGAGGCATATGCCTCGTCGATCGATTGAAAATTTGACAAATCGAAGCAGAGTAACGCGCTACTGATCCAAAAGCATACATTCTTCCTATCTTACCAAAATCATCCTCCAAGATCGCTGAAGTTACAACAATCATCTACTTTTACATTTCACTACTGCTTGTAGTGCCAGTTCGTTCACAATGCTGCGACCTTTGTTGCAAAACATTTTTTTCAGCGAAATTACTCGTTATTTTCTCGTTGCTTCGATTTTTTTCTCGCTACTTCAAATATTTTCCGTTGCTTCGATTAATTTCTCGCTGCGTCAAGTTTCTTTCAAGTACTTGAAAAAAACTTGAAGCAACGACAAAATACTCGAAGCAGCGAGATAATAATCGAACTAACGCGTACTGTCGCTGAAAGAAATATTATACGCTACAAATGTGGCAGCATTCGGCTTTCGTAGGTTCGCCTCGAAGGTCGTTGACGCAGTCGAAAAGGCCCTTTGTCCCTGAGAGCGTATGTAAGACCTAGTCATTCAAAGTATATTTATTCCTACCACGGCTGTAGAACGTAGAACGTGTGTTAGTTTAATTCATGGCTAAATTTGTTATAATCGCCTTCATCTGAAGGTGCGGTGGATGTCCAAGTAGAACCCAGGGCCCAGATTTTCGAACCTCTCTTAGCGCTACGATAGTCGTAAGTTAATGTTAATGTATGGCACTTACGACTATTTTAGCGCTAAGAGAGCTTCGAAAATCTAGGCCCAGGTCCCCGTTCCTCAAAGCGATCGTAGCGCTGCGACTGTCGTAAGTCTATGTTAAAGTATGGGAGTTACGATCACCTTACCTTAGCGCTGGCTGCGATCGCTTTGAGGAACGGGACCCAGCATGCTGATCACCTTCGGTTGCTTGCGTTCTACAGTCTGTTTCCAAATTGTGTACAGTAACATCTTGTTATGGTTGCTTGCCAGTTTTAAGTGTAAATCTGTGACAGTTTAGTGATGTTACTGCCCGTCGTTCGCAGATAAATATAGCATTTAGATCTATTTTAATATGCAACCTTCATAGCCACGATATGGCTCAAATACGCCCGATGTGCCTTAAACATTTTAAGTCACCCTCAATGCGTTCACATATTTGAAATTGAAAATCATTTTCGATTTTATCCTGCCTTTCATAGTGTACATAACAGAAATAATGTTGAAACAAGTCACTCTCACGTTGCTGTAAGATTATTTGTTAATATTTCAGAACATGGCAATCAACAAGAAAGCCAGGGCTTTTTACAACAAGACAGGTGTGACCAATGCCAACGTTGCTGTGGTCAGAGACTGCTATTCCGCGGCAGGTAGTGCCTGCGGTCCAAAGGGTCAGGCGGTTATGGACTTAAGAGGGACTGGCCTGGCTCTAGACGAATCAGTGAGTTTAGGCATGATAAAATACATTTCCTGTGCCCACTTCTGTCTGTTCCCGATCTTGCTAACGACCCCATTATTTTGAATAAATGTAAATGTCAACAAAATATAAACTTTTAATATGAATAAAAAGATAAAAAGCAAAATATAAACGTTTTCAAATCAATCATATTAAGCAGTTTCAACAAAAGGCAGAGTGCACAGTACGAATCAGATCGTATGTATGTGGTTATAAATCGCTATACAATATTGATTACACCAGTCATTCCGAGTAATAGTAATAGTAATAGTCCGCTTATAGGGCGCTCATATCCAGGCACATTGCCTGCTCACGGCGCTACGTACATTACTATCCCCGGTCATAGGACACTATCGTACTTTCCGATACTCTTTCAACTCCCTGGGGATCATACAGCCATGCTGCCTGTTAGGCGCAATGAACTAAACACTCACATTGGCAGCACATCCTCACGGGTACCCATTTTACAGCTGGGTGAACTGAGACAATGTGGATCTAAGTATCTTGTCCAAGGATATTTCGTAAATGTGCCCACCTCGGGACCCGAACCTCGGTGCCTGCACCGGCGATCGAACACGGGCCTTCAGCGTGATAGGCAGACGCCTTACCACTGCACTATTGCGCTCCACAAGTGCATCCTGTGCCACTGGTAGCATCCGTCACAAACACGCACAACGCCCAGTCAAGAGGAAATTGTTTCAAGTCGCATTTCGTTTTGCAGCACATGCCATGTTTTGTGACTTGATTACTCAGTCAGGAAGAATGTTTCAAGTGTATTGCATTGTTTCTGTTGGCATTCAGTTGGGGGCAGCTCTGCGCCATATTTAGAGAAATATACAAAGTATTACAACAGTATGGTATTTTCCAGCATAGTCTTACTCAGAATACAATGGACAGTTCCAGTACAGTGTGCGAAATAGCCCGCTGGCCCGCTAGCCCGTGGCTAGTAAAAATATATTCGGGTCTGGTGGCTTCTGGTGTGAAGCCCATATCTAGTGTCTTGTGGCTTCTGGTGTGAAGCCCAAATCAAGTGTCTTGTGGCTTCTGGTGTGAAGCCCAAATCAAGTGTCTGGTGGCTTCTGGTGTGAAGCCCATATCTAGTGTCTTGTGGCTTCTGGTGTGAAGCCCAAATCAAATGTCTGTTGGCTTCTGGTGTTAAGCCCATATCTAGTGTCTGGTGGCTTCTGGTGTGAAGCCCATATCTAGTGTCTGGTGGCTTCTGGTGTGAAGCCCATATCTAGTGTCTGGTGGCTTCTGGTGTGAAGCCCATATCTAGTGTCTGGTGGCTTCTGGTGTGAAGCCCATATCTAGTGTCTGGTGGCTTCTGGTGTGAACCCCATATCTAGTGTCTGGTGGCTTCTGGTGTGAACCCCATTTCTGATTTCCCACATGGGTACACCGTTTTTTACAGTATGATGTTCAGAATGTTTTATGTTTGAATAAATTTGATAATTCTAATTGGGAGATGTTTTATCACTCATTATGATGGCTGATGGATGCAGTGCAGTCTGTAAACCAATGGAAAAGCGGTACCCTCTATGGTTAAGATGAGTTTCAGAAAGAAAAGCATCGTTTCGAAACACAATATTCCTCTCAAAAGTCCACCAGAAACATGTGCAATGGGTACACACATCCTATTTTGTATCTTTCTCATAATTATTGTGTTATTTCTTGAAATGATTTTATGCATACTGACTTAGGTTGTTTTGCTTCTCATTTTGGGGGATTTAGGTCGTTCTCCCACGAAAAATATCCCTGAATTAGAAAACGGAAATTCAATCATCAGTTTTGCCTCCATAATTCTGAAAATATTTCGTGAAACAACATTAAAGTAAATTTAAGAATTATGCATTTTATCCCATCACGCAAGTCTAACAAGGAAAACAAGGGCTTTCCCCCAGTAGTTTTCAAGATACCAGTTTCATCTCTCCTGAATACCTATAAACCTACTTAGGTCGTTTTGCTTCTCAACCCTTCAGAGTTTCTTTGTTGTTGGTTGTTTCTTGTTTAGTTCCTTTGCTTACTGAATATCACTTAACGTTCTGGAATCAGTATGTAACAATGCACCATGTCATTCGTGGCTTGTTAGTAAAGTTTGCTATTGAACGTTGTGCTGCTAAGAGAATTTATAGACGATCAAGAGAAGCAAGAATATATTATTTAGAAGCCATATTCTGCAGTTGACTGAATGAACGGATTCAACTGGTTTTTATGTTTGTTTTGAAGTAGTGGATCAATTACGCGTCAAAACAATTACCGAGTCTTGAATGTTATTAAATGCCAATGTCAATTTACAGAACATGCAGAGCGTGGCCATATTATTGGTAATGGCGTTGATATCGTGTATAGCGATGCCCATCTTTAAAATATTGCTACTCAAAAACGACACCGCGTATCGTCGTAATATTTTGTCACATGATCGACGATGATGTCACGTGTCTGTCACTTTTATCCGTATATCCATCTATTTCCGGCAACAATGGGGAAATCGTCTGATTTGTCGGAGTTACTCAAGAAATTAATTGTAAAAGGTTTCGAAGTGGCGAAAAATGTTCTAACATTGCGAGATTCTTTGGAATGCCTTCGAGCATATTCGGTGGTAATGCGGTTTAATCGACGTGAATCAGTCAAAAATGCTTCCAGAACTCCTCGGGGACAACTGGCAACTTCTGAGGTTGATCATAGACAATAGGATTTCACCTTTGGGTGGAATAACTGAGAATTTGAACTTTAAGGCTGTATCGGTGAGGACGGTAAGGAGACGATTATATGAAAATAAATTTCACAGAAGTGTTGTTAGAAAGAAAATTCGAATTCGTGACTATAATGTCAGAAATCGTTTGGCCTGGGCAAGGGGACAGTGATATCGTACAGTGAATCATTACTGCAATCGTGTAATCTTCTCTGACCAGTGCAAAACTATCTTTGGGGAAACACTGGTGTTTTTGTTTGGCGACAGCCCGGTGAAGAATACCTCCCACAAAGTCTTTGTCCGTGACTACAGCCTCGCGTCATTGTGGGCTCGTATCATGGGCGTGGCGTTGGTTCCATTTATGTTGTTAATGGCATCATAAATGCTCAGACATACACAGAAATTCTCGATGATACGCTTTGGCCCGTTATGGCAGACATTTTCTTGGTAACCGGTACATCTGCCAAAATGACAATGCCCCTGTACAACGGACCCGTGTCGTTTATGTTTACAAGCGACGAAATGACATAACTGGAATGTTGTGGCCTGCACAGAGTCCAGACGCAAATATTATTGAGAACTGTTGGTTCTGCCTGAAGAATAGTCTTCAGGGACGCCGAAGAAACATTCAGTTGGCTACTGACTTGGAATGCGCAGTGCGGGACTAATGGGAAAATAGTCCCCTCCATTTCATCAGAAATCTTTTATATTCATCGATGTTGAAAATAATAAGGAACAAGGGACACATCACTAATATATTGAGTTAAGACTCTTCATATAACGGGTTATGACACATTGAACTCTCGGTCAAATTCGCGGATGCTGCTGCATTGGTAAGCCTTATTAGGAAATCAGAACTTAGTTACAGAGCTGAAATTTCTAAATTTGTAGAATGGTTTAAAGCAAACTTTTTATTTTTGACTGTGCAAAAAAACAAAGAAATGATCATAGATTTTAGAAAAGCTAAGTCAACAATAAATGCTGTAACTATTGACGATAATGAAATCGGAAGAGTAACTGAATACAAATATTTGGGTACTGTCTTAGATTCGAAACTCTCCTGGAACGAAAACACTGAGAAAATATATAAAAAAGAACAGCAACGCTTGCATTTTTTGTGGAAGTTGAAACATTTTAAAATCGACCAAACTATCATGATGTTATTTTACAAAACCTTTATTCACAGTGTAATAAACTTTAATTTCTTGAGTGGGTTCGGGAACCTGTCTGTTCAGAATAAAAACAAACTTTCCAAAATCGTAAACACTGCGTCCGAAATTATTGGGCTTCCTATCGAAAGTATCGGCATTTGTTATGAGCAGCAAATTTCAAAAAAGGCAAACAAAATTTTAAGTGATCCTACTCATATACTCTTTTCTGAATATTCATCATTACCTTCTGGACGCAGGCTGCGTATGCCGACTTTTAGAACAAACAGGGTTCACCACTCATTTGTTCCAGCTAGTATTAGATGCATTAACAACAAATTCTGTGAATGACTTGTCTTTTAATTGTCAAAATTCTATTCAATATATATGTTTGTGTACTAAATTAATGTATTTATACCCTGATTATTTCATGATCACCAATTGCAATGTTATGTATGGCTGCTTTATGAATGAAAATCTGGAGAACGTATGATGCAAAACATATTCCCTTGGGACAATAAAGAATTATCTTATCTTATCTTAACTCTCGCGTAACTGCGTCGTCAACAATCCGTCCGCCATGTGTGTAAGTAATGTTATGGCCACCCACTGTAGATAAGGAACTATCCACAAGGATCTTGGATATGATAGTAATGATGATTATCTGTACGTCAATATGATATGCCGCTGAACTTTGTCAGGCGATTAAAGTGGAGCTCATCAGACTCCCAAAACACAATTGGGATTCTCATGAGGGTATGCCACGTCATACTTTCCGCCAATTGTGTCAGAGTTTTGGTAAAGTATTCCCTACTATCTAAAGATTGTATGTGTCATGTGTTTTGTTACGAAAGAACGCAGCATTCAAATAGTTTAAGTTTGTTTGTTGTTGAACGCCGCACTTAACAATATGGCGTCAGCATGTAAATACTGGACCAGACAATCCAGTGATCATCACCATGAGCATCGATCTGCGCAACTGGGATACGATGACATGTGTCATCCAAATCAGCAAGCCTGACCACCCAATCCCGATAGTCGCCTCTTATGACCCGCACGGGTTGCTGAAGGCCAATTCTAACATGGATTTTCACGGGTCAAATATGACAAAGTTTATTCTGCTAATTCAGACAGACGTGAAAGTTAACATTCATATTATTATATGTCCGTGTACATATCGACCGATCCTTGAAACTCTTCTTCGTAAGAGTCTTCGTGCATGATATTATGACTGTCCACAAGCCTTAGATATCAAACCTGTGTTTACATTTAGTGTCTCTTTATGTATTTCACACCACCGCAGGCTTTCAAATATTTGATCTGTCAGTCGGTATCGTACTTTAGTTAAGATTAATAGTAAATAATGACTTATAGTCGCGTCAGCAAAATATCTGCCTTAACGTGAATAAAACAAGTCATCCATTGATAATAGAGTTCAATTGTAAAATCTCTCGACAAGAGACAGTAAAACTAGCTTGTAACTTAAAATAGATGACAACCTGGAACCATACAATGTGCAAACGGGCCGCAGATCGCCAGCAGCTGAAAGTTAGGTCAAATAGGAGCAATCCCGCCTACATAAACATTGCCACGAAACGAAATAATGTCATGCGAGTCATCATACTGCGTAACACTTGTAATATTACACCATTACCAGTTTGAAGACAAACATTACAATAAAGATTTTAAAAAGATATTAATGAATCATCTCGTTTCAGATAACTTGGAGCAGAGCCTATGGGACCTCTATTTGGGACCCGATTGTCAATCGGTTTCATAGCCATCAGCTCATAGAGATACGATGCGGTGGTGTTTGCGGAGTCTGCAGTGCTCCTGGGCTGGTCCTCCTCGCCTTGCTGGACTCTGATGGTAGATAGTCAATGCCTTATGTTGGGATCTATTGAAACAAAACATATGCTGTGTGGCCTAAAGAGGACCTCAAGTAAATATGGGGTACCAGCCGTTGGTCTTGCGCATAGAACCCGTGAAGAATTGGTTTTCAGTAACCCATGCTTCTCGTAAGAGTCGACTATCGGGATCGAGTGGTCAGGCTCACTGACATGGTTGACACATGTCATCGTATCCCAAATGCGTAGATCGATGCTGATGCTGTTGATCACTGGGTTGCCTTGTCCAGACTCGATCATTTACTAGACAGCAGCCATATAGTTGGAATATTGCTGAGTGCGGCGTAAAACTAAACTCACCACTCACTCAATCTTGACGTAGAACTGGTGCAGTTCAATTTACCATTTGTGTGAGCCAGCTGGATTTGGATTTGCCTTTGCAGTGTTTGTGACAGGTGCAGCAACAGTTGGCAATGAAAAGCTGAACTTTTCGCCAACACTTGGTATCATCACTAGTTAATCGTGTAGCATATGGAATGCTTAGTTGGAATAAAACAATGGATTCTGCTTTCGGTAGGGACTGTAATGTGTATTAAATTAAAGTGTTGTAAATATATATTAATGTACCTGTGATGTAATACTACGTTTCTTGGTTCCCTACTTTCTTAAGATTATTAGAGTATTTGTTATTTACACATATCCATGTACTGAATCGACCGTTTCATTTCGATACTAACACATACTACAACGTACACTTCTGTTACAGCGCCAGAAGAAAGTAGTGCCATAACCCCATCTTGTGATTAGCACCTGAAACGTGTGTCTAACAGTTCTCGAATATCGTGTGATCAACCCCTAAACAATATCTCTAGATAACAGTTCTCCAACATCTTGTGGTCAACACTTGTACAACGTGCCTACATAACGTAACAGTGCTCCAACATCTTGCGGTGAACACCTGTACAGCGTGCCTACATAAGAGCGCTCTAACATCTTGTGGTCAACACTTGTACAACGTGCCTACATAACAGTGCTCCAACATCTTGTGGTCAACACTTGTACAACGTGCCTACATAACAGTGCTCCAACATCTTGTGGTCAACACTTGTAAAACGTGCCTACATAAGAGTGCTCCAACATCTCGTGGTCATCACTTGTACAACGTGCCTACATAACAGTGCTCCAACATCTTGTGGGGGTTGGGGGGTTGGGTTATGTACGTCTTCTGTCCCTCATTGAAACAAACTTAGAATATTTGCACGCCAAATAACAAAGTGAACAGTAAAGCATCTGTAGGCCATGTTGTAGCACCGGGCCAAATGCTATGCCTGCATTCTGACTCGTCCTTATATCTATCATCTTCTGTAGGTTACATGATGCAGCAACTCAAACATGGCGTGCAGACATTTCGAATTCTTATAAAGGTAACACTTATCGCATATTCAAAAATATCCTTGTCTTGACAGCTATATCACATGTATCGCTTTCTCTTTACCTCAAGTGTAGAACTTCCTGACATCGTGTACCTATAGAATTAGGTAGGCAGCAAGAAATAATCTCAAAAGAAAGAATAAGTAACCCCTGACATGTGCAATGTTGGCGATGAATTGCATTACCTTTTGCTCTGCCCTATCTTCAAACTTGAGTAAGTGAGTGAATATTTTATTTTTGAAATAAGTGTTTACAAAAGTTATGTACATTCTATAATACCATCATGGAAACTATAACATTTCCCATGTAAACCATCCCGTCATCGTATGTATTGTTCAGTGTATGTTTGTACCGCTTTTGCTGAATATCCTGACCTGACTGAAATCAAAGTCCTGTTCTGTGTTGTCATAGTGAATAATGCAACAAACCTCTTAAAGTTGCTGAAGTCTCATTATTAAAAAGACCTTTTGCTAGAGAGTGTTTTTCATCATATTAAGCACCAATTCCCGGTCTTGGACCATGGCCTTCTAGTGGTTCTGTAAAGGAAATATGTTAGAAATGAGAGATAAATGGTTTATGCAGAAACGTAGTAGATCTTGTATCCTCATCCCTCAACTAACTGCATGTTGCTATAGAATATAACTCCGAGATGTATCTGCCACGTCAATGGTGTACTGAGGAGTTTTCCTCTCAAAGTAGCCAAAGCCGACAGTTTCCCTGTTGATACAACCAAAGTCTGTGGCAGTGTTAAAGACACCAATGCTGTCCAAACAGAAAGTCTGGTGAGTTGGGAAGGTCAACTCACTGATGTACAGCTGTCCAGTCTTTGGAAAGCGGCTGAAAACCACAGAACCTTCACCCAAAAAACATGTTTTTCGCTTCAGTTCGACAAAAGTAAAAATTTGGCCTGTCTCCTTCAGGCTTGACGGAGTTACAATGACTGGCTCATCAACCCACTGGTCATACATGTGAAACAGGGTGGAATGTATTGTATTTATTTTGGTATTGTTTGGTTTTAATTATAAGCGCCTAGTGGTTAAATATTTGGCTCGTCACGCCGAAGACATGGGTACAATAAGTGAAGCCCATTTCATGTGTCCCCCACCCTGATAGTGCTGGAATATTGCTCAACGCGGCGTACAACCTCACTCATTCACTAATTATAATGAGGTAGGGACCCTCAGTACCACTCATTTGGAGCCTCGCCACCTATGTAAGGATAGTTCACATTTCATATTTGATACCAACTATGCTGATTGGCTTAAAGTTTATGAAGGGGCCTTGGAACTTCTCATTAGCTGGAAATAGCAGCTCATGCTTTTCATGCAAGGCAAGATGCTCAGTAATTTTCATTCTGGCAGGCAACTTCGCCAGGGACACACTGGTTTGGTCTCGAAGAAACAGAAGGTTAGTTTTATGTCTTATAATGTATTTTATTAATGTTAAACAGTTCAAAATTATTTCAATTGGTTCATGGTATTTTAAAGTATTATTTGTTGGAAGGATATGGAATGTTGAGATAAAGTACTTTTCAATATTTTGGTGATGTATTTGTGCGAAACCATTGTTTGAAAGTAATTTCTACTGCACTTGTGATGCATTTTATACTAGTGTTTTGCATTTTGTGGTTAGATACACCACTGAAGGCGTTCTGATGAGGCACCATAGCTAGTAGTTATGTGTATTTTGGTATCCTTTATCAATAAAGCTATATTCCTTAATTGTAATAGCTATCACTTGCCATATGTGTATTTAATGCTTATGTAATGTTCCCTAAAGATTTAGTTGTATTTAAATGTTATATTGTGAGACACCAATACATGTATTATAACATGTTCCAGAATTCAGCGAATGTTTAACACCACCATCTGGCTGTATTACAAAAATAAAGAACTCAGCCCTACGGCTGGCCCATGTCGTCTGTGGGACTAGCCCGTTTTCACTTGCTGGGCCAACCAATCTAGTGAAATGTGTATTTGGGTATTCTCATTGTTTGTCTCCATAAATCTTGCACCAAGGACATTGACTTAACTGTGATTTATTTCTGGTTGTGAGGTGATTGCATAAGTCTGGCCTTCATAGTTAGAAAGATGATTGACATTGTGTTGAAGTGAGGTGGGTAGTCAGTACTAGTCTTCGAGGTACGATTACACGGAATATTTTATTTGTCTTCAAACACTCCCCTTAGTCGTCATACAAACCTCAAATGTACGTAGCGATTCATTCATTAAGCTTGTTACCCGCGAGGGTCCCGTTGAGAATTAACCCTCAGCACTCCATGCGACTAGCGGGTTCGGGTGGTCTGGTTCCATGGAGTATGTCATCCCAGTCGGGTAGATCGATGCAAAAGATATCAATCACTGGATTGCCTGATCCAGATGATCTTCTTAGTTTACCTTCGTGTACCTGGAGTTGTTCTGATTGCCGCACTAAATAACACACAAACACACCTTGTCTCAGAGGAATCAAAGAGTGGTGGTTTTCTAACTGTATTTCTCAACACCACATCCTTGACAGTACAGTTTTTATACATATTGATGTTGATCCTGTCATAATGCTGGTATAGACTGCAACTGGATTGACATCACAGATCGAAATGATGTCCTAGTTTGAATATTCATATTGATGTTGACCCTGACATCATGCTGGGATAGACTGCAACTGGAAGTGACATTACAGAATGAAATAATGTCCTAGTTTGAATATACATATTGATGTTGATCCTGTCATAATGCTAGGATAGACTGCAACTGGAAGTAACATCACAGATGGAAATGATGTCCTAGTTTGAATATACTTATTGAAGTTGATCCTGTCATAGTGCTGGGATAGACTGCAACTGGAAGTGACATCACAGATGGAAATGATGTCCTAGTTTGAATATACATATTGAAGTTGATCCTCTCATAATGCTGGGATAGACTGCAACTGGATTGACATCACAGAATGAAATGATGTCCTAGTTTGAATATACATATTGATATTGATCCTGTCATAATGCTAGGATAGACTGCAACTGGAAGTGACATCACAGATGGAAATGATGTCTTAGTTTGAATATACATATTGATGTTCATCCTGTCATAATGCAGGGATAGGCTGGAACTGGAAGTGACATCACAGATGAAAATGATGTCCTAGTTTGAATATACATATTGAAGTTGATCCTGTCATAATGTTGGGATAGACTGGAACTGGAAGTGACATCACAGATGGAAATGATGTCCTAGTTTGAATATACATATTGATGTTGATCCTGTCATAATGCTGGGATAGACTGCAACTGGACTGACATCACAGATGGAAATGATCTCCTAGTTTGAATATACATATTGACATTGATCCTGTCATAATGCTAGGATAGACTGCAACTGGAAGTGACATCACAGATGGAAATGATGTCCTAGTTTGAATATACATATTGATGTTGAACCTGTCATAATGCTGGGATAGACTGCAACTGGAAATGACATCAGAGATGGAAATGATGTCCTAGTTTGAATATACATATTGATGTTGATCCTGTCATTATGCTTGGATAGACTGCAACTGGAAGTGACATCACAGATGAAAATGATGTCCTAGTTTGAATATACATA